GTGAAGTGGGCAGGGGCTACTGCGGGTGTGAGGGGATTCCCTGACCCCCACAGAAGCTCCCGGGAAGGGATTCTTTGACAGTAATATACCCCAGTGCTAGGAAGATTTGGGGGAACGACTTCACAGAAACATTCTTCACCCACAATCTTAGCTCCCAACCCCCCAAACAAACAGGCTTCCTCGAGTGAAGGGACCTGAGCCCATATACACAGTGGTTTCAGGCCCGGACTAGTTCACCTTTTCTCCCCTGAGGACGGGTAATTACAGCGCCGGCTCAGTCTCTTGGCACACTTGCCAGTCCCTCTTTTTCCTTTTATTTGGAAGAAGGGAGCACGGGAGGGGGGGGGTGGATAGGGGAGAGGATCATTCACCCCATTGTCACGAGCAAACTGAAAAGAGGAGCCCAGGAGGCGTTTCAGTGACCAGCAGGTTTGGGTGGGGGGCTGGGGGAGGGGGTTATGGCAAACTGTTGAGCCCGCGCCCAGCCCAAAGGGGGCAGCCACTCTCAGTTCTCTCTGAATGTTGTCCTTTAGAAATGAGAACCAGTGTTAGATTTCCTGACTTTTAAAAATATATTTTTTTAATTGATTTTTAGAGAAAGAGGAGGGGAGAGGGAAAGAGAGAAACATCGATGTGAGAGTGAAATATCGATCGACTGCCTCCTGTGCGTGTGCCCTGACCGGGAATCTAACCGGCAGCCTTTGGGTGCACGGGATGATGCCCAACCACTGAGCCACACCGGCCAGGGCGTAGACTCCCCGACTTGTGAGGAGATACCCCCAATCCACATTTTATTTGAAAGGTTCCAATGTAAACATTGGCAGTGAATTCAGTTATTTGAGGACGCGCTGAGGATCCAAGAAGCAGATCTGCAGGTTGGAATCCAACCAGTGGGATGTCTGTTTGTGTTGTCTGGGCTAGACGGAAGGCCCCTCAGGCGAGTGATGGAGCTGGTACCGGAGCTCAGGGCCCCCGAATTCCAGGCCCCCTAGTTCCAGCCCCGTGCTTGTCTCGCCTGCGGCCTGCAGGCACGTGGTCTCCTCACTGCCTTTCCTTCTGTCTTCCTGTGACCCTGCGCTCATTTCCTCCTCTCGCTGTTTCCCGAAGCTCCGAGGGAGTTTTTAGGCTGTTGCAAGAATGGAGAGGTGAAATGATCCCCATCCTGTCCTAAGCTGACCAGGGGGAGGGAGCTGAAGGCGAGAGTGGGGACAGGGGTGCAGTCCTGAGGCCGGGGCCCTGGAGGCCTGGGCTCTGGCTCTGCTATTCGTTAGCGGTAGGACCTCAGGCAGCTTCTGTGAGTTGGGTTAGTACATGCCCCTACAGGACCGTTGGGAGGATTACATGCGACACACGTGGAAGGCACCTACCTTGTTCTACATGTTCCATATTTAGAAGCAGTTAGTCTACCCAGGGCTTCATGAAGGGAGTGACTGGCTATGATTTCCTCATCTTGTATCCCCTTCTAGCTCAGCTCTCCCATCCCTCTTCCTAGACTCTCACACCCTTTCCCCAGGAAAGGAACTAAGGTTTCCAAACGGGAATGGGGAGAAAGGAGTGTCTGACCGAATCGATGCTCATTTGCCTGCTACTGGTGAATCTTTGTGAAGGAACCTTCTTAATGTCAGTGAGTATCTGGGTTCAGACCCCCTGCAGGCCCACCACCAACTCCATCACTCCCGTCTCATCCATGTTCAGGCCCATCACCAACTCCATCACTCCCGTCTCATCCATGTTCAGGCCCATCACCAACTCCATCACTCCCGTCTCATCCATGTTCAGGCCCACCACCAACTCCATCACTCCCGTCTCATCCATGTTCAGGCCCATCACCAACTCCATCACTCCCGTCTCATCCATGTTCAGGCCCACCACCAACTCCATCACTCCCGTCTCATCCATGCTCGCTCATCTATGCTGAGCGAGAACCCCTCTCAGGGGGCCCATGACACACGAAAATCGCAGGTGACCGACCTCATGGCCAGGCAATTAGTGTTGGTGCCTCAGAGCAGGGGTGTCAACCAGGAACCACAGGGGTGGAGAGACTTGCTGACACTGAGTTCAGCTGAAAGACCAAGAAACAGCTTCTGTTGTTTCTCACCTATGTGGCCGATTATTAATGTGGGGGTGAGTGGGGGTGCAGACACACCCTCCTCTCTGCCAACACCCCACTCACACCTCCTCCCCGACTCTGTCCTCAACTAGGTCGGTGATGAAAAAGACATCCTACCTCCCAAGCTTCAGGATGACATCTTGGAGTCTCTCGGTCAGGGGATCGATGAGCAACAGAGTAAGTCCCAGGCCCCTCTTATTGTGGGGTTCTCCAAGGCCCCTGAGGCCATGCTCCCATCCCTCCCCTTCCAGAACTAAAATGAACCTGCTCTGCAGGCCTGGGCCAGTCCCTGAGGCCTGGATCCCAGGGCGAGTCAGAGATTTTATTCTTCCTAAGCAATGGTAGAGAACCCATACCCAGCCTCCCACCTTCAAGAGTCCATCAGTAATTATGACCCCCGCCCCACCCCCACCCCACCCCCACCCCACCCCTGGAGCGCTCAGCCTGCAGTGACAGCCCCTCAAAGGTAAAGGTGGGCGGTTTCATCCTTTGGCTCCTCCCTGAGCGGCGTCTCCGTGTCCCCCGCAGCTCCAGAACAAATCAACGAGCATGTGTCAGGCCCGTTCGTGCAGTTCTTTGTCAAGACCGTCGGCCACTACGCTTCCTACATCAGGTGGGAGGCCAACGGGCAAGGCCGCTTCCAAGAACGGGCCTTCTACAAGGCTCTGCCCTCCAAGGCCAACCGCCGATTCGTGAAGAAGTTTGTGAAGACACAGCTCTTCTCGCTTTTCATCCAGGAAGCTGAGAAGAGCAAGAACCCTCCAGCAGGTAGGCAGCGAGCGCCTCTACCCCCTAGGCCTGCGGGTCACTCGGCCCTGGCCCTGGGTTGAGGGGAGGAAAAGGCACTTCCTTTCAGAGGCCCCAGGACAGCTGGGATCTTATCAGCCGGTTGGAAAGAAAGAACTCAAAGCCTCAGGAAATGCCCCCGGGCTGACACTTTGCAGAAGTCGCTCTATTATTCCTTGTAGCCCCTTTGGGGGCTAATGGAATACTGGGTTTCCAGAGGCCTGTGAGGGTGTGGGAATTCCCCAACGAGAATGTGGGTTTAGTGGGGGTATGAGGAGCAGACAGGGGGGTTTTTTTCCTTTAAAAATTTTTTTAGAAATTGATTTCAGAGAGGAAGGGAGAGAGAGAAACATCAATGATGAGAATCATATATCAGCTGCCTCCTGAACACCCCCCACTGGGGATAGAGCCCGCAACCTGGGCATGTGCCCTGACCGGCAATCAAACCATGACCTCCTGGTTCATAGGACGATGCTCAACCACTGAGCCACGCCAGCCGGGCCAGAAAGGGTATTTCTGATCCTCATCCCTGAGCTCATCCGTCTGCCCGGCCAGATTACATCCTCTAACACCTGCTTCTGAACCCACAGGCTATTTCCAACGGAAAATACGTGAATATGAAGAACAGAAGAAACAGAAGAAATCAAAGGGAAAGACTGTGAAATGAGAACTGTGGTGACCGGGACTAGACCTCCAGGCCAGTTTTGGACTTTGGCCCCTGCCAACGTGGCAGGGTCAGCGAAGCTCTCAGCCCCGGGACCCAGTCTTCTCCCAAGTCCTGGGAACCCGGTCTTGCTTCGAGCTGGTGTCTCGAGTTTGGGATCCCTGGAATCTGCTTTCTCAAGGCTTCGGAAGATTTGGCCTCTGTGCTCACAGAGCAGGGCTCACCTTGCGCAGGGGACACAGAGCGGAACAGGGGCACAGGCGTCATGGAGACGTAGGAGTTGCTAGAACTGCCCCGTCCCAGGAACCACTATTACAAAATCCTCCAGAGGAAGCAGCTGTGGCCCAAAGGCTCCGGCTTGCCACGTAAAAAGGTCTGTGGACACAGGAGGGTAAGAATAAAATGAAAACTTCCTGTGGTTTCTATGTGTATCTTTGACTTCCACTCTTGGGGGAGGAGCAAAAAGACAGGAATAGATGTGAGAATAAACGGGACCACAAGTAGGGGACCTGGTGCTGGCCCAGAACTGGGGCTGTGCTGGTGGCCGAGCTCTAGGGGTCAGCAGCTCCACTTCACCAGGAGGGGTCAGGGACACAGGTGCACTGGCCACAGCGCTGGGACGGGGCAGGCGAGCTCCAGGTTCCTGGGAGGAAGGGCTGTGAGCCAGAGGGAGGAATTTGTGGTCCGGGGTCAGGTTTGGAAGCTCTGTTTTCGACATCCTACTTCCTTCTTGCTATTTTGGGAAGCCCAGTTCAACCCTTCAGCTGAAGGTGGAGGGATCCCGCAGTGACATTTTTTTCTCTGGAGAAAAGAGAACCGTGGAGTCCGAAGTTTAGGGGTCACCTAGTCCACTTTCCCTCCACACCTCTCCTACCTTCGGCTGAAACAGTGGAAGGGATGGGGAACATTCAGAAGCATTTTTTCAAGAATTGCATTTTTTAATTTTTATTTTGTGATTCCAGAGAGGAAGGGAGAGAGAAACATCAGTGATGAGAATCATTGATCAGCTGCCTCCTGCATGCCCCACACTGGGGACCCAGGCATGTGCCCTGACCGGGAATTGAACTGGGACCTTCTGGTTCATAGGTCAATGCTCAACCACTGAGCCATGCCGGCTGGGCCAAGAATTGCATCTTTTTAGTGTGTGTATGTGAGTGTGGCCCTCAGGTCCCTGAATCCTATACAAAGAACACAAATGTCTTTGGAGGGTGGGACAAGGTGACGATGACAACAACAAAACTATCAGGAGGGGAAAAGAATAGAGTTCTATGTTTTAAGTTGAATAATTTATACAAAATAGAAAGGTCACAGGACAGAACAACAACACAGCTGACCAAATTTTCTTATTTATTAAAGAACAGAAATAAATTTTGCTTCAAGTTTGAAAAATGACATTAAAACTTACTTTATTTTTCCAGTGAATAAAATTGAGAAAAACGCTGGCTTTCAGATCATATATTTATTTAAAAAAATAAAATGAATCGACAAAGGTACATTATTCCGCATGCTGACAGGGTCCCAGCCCACGAGACACTCCATTTCTTGAGCAATAAAAAAATGACTTCCTCAGCGATGTCAAGATAGGAAACCTTTCCCTCCGAATTCCGGGTGTTGGTCACTAGCTCCCCCTCACACGCCAGTGGGGTACATCTGCTCCTGAGCTGAGCTCCTTTGCAAAGAAAGCTTGAGAAGACATGAATCAAAGATGTCACTAAACGATGATGATTTGTTAAAATTATAAAGCAACCGTCTTTTGGCCTGCAAATATTCTACCTAAGAAATCTCCACTGCAGGGGATCAGCCCCCCATGACAATTTTATTCTGAATCCAGGAGAGCTTACAAGCACATGGCATTGTTCCCCGCACACTCGCTTGGCCAAAATCTGTACATCAACATGTACAATATACAGGACAGGACTCGAAACTCCCATTCTCACAGAGGATCGTTAAGGAGTGTTACCAGTAACAAAGGATAAAAGTTATACCACGTTGATTATTATAAATTATACTTGTTCTTGTCCTCCCCACTCTCATTAATATGTTCAGATTCTTTCCTGCAGAAAGCACGAGTTTCCTATACCACACCGACGCCATCACTAGTGATGGTTCGAGTGAGCTGTAGAGACCTTGATTCTGAAGACGTGTATGTGCAGGTGAGATGCGATCTGATTGCAGACGCTGACACAGTAGCGGATCAAATCAAAGAAAGAGAAGACCTGGAACAAAAAGAGACGACGATTAGAGTCACCTGACCTGCGTAGGGTGCCCTTAGCTTAGACAGTGCAGAGGCGTGGCTTCTGGCTTCTTCCCCTTCTCTTCAGAGTCACCCTCCATTCCATACAATTTAACATCTCAGAACTCACTGATTCTTCCTTTACAACAAGGATCAACAAACTCTTAGAGACACAGTCATTATTGCAGGCTTTGCGGACCACACGGTCTTTGTCACGAATGCTCAACTCTGCCATCATTGCATGAATGCAGCCACAGACAATACATACATGCATGGCCATGGCTGTGTTCCAATAAAACTTTATTTTCAAAACCAGGCCATTGGCACCCTGGGTGTAGTTTGCCAACTCCTGCTTTACAGTCAGAAATATGGAATTTATAAGCCCTAATGCAGGCAGAATTAAAAATAATGTAAAAAATGCTTCAAAGATGAAGCCACAAGGAACTCCCACAAAGTCCTATAAATGAGGCTTTGACATTCCAAATCATTACAATTGCAAGATGGATCTCTCAGGACTGGCCCACTGAAACAATAAGTAGCCTCCACATCATGAAATACAATACCTACCAGGGCAATCCAAAGCACAATATATTCATCGATAAAGCTGTTGAAATATTGATCCAGAAACAGAAGTGCTGGGCCTATGAAGGCTGTGTCGTGCAAATGCATTTCACTCTTTGTCATGTGCGCCACCTAGGAAAGAAAGAGAATCAATGGCGTGGGCATTTCCGTGTTGGAGCAATGGTGAGCTACACAGAAAACCAGCACTGTGCTCGAACAGCAAGTCTCAAGAATTCTTTAGCAACATACGTTGAATTTCCAAATCTAAAAACCTGACAACACGAAGTGTGTGTGAGAGCTACACACCAAAGGGCTCTCCCATCAACTAGGCCCCCAAGCACGCGTCTCACCAGGAGCCTAATTTGAGTGTCTAGACTGAGACTGAAGGATGCAGGTGAGCAAACTAAGCACATGAAATTGTGGAGAGAGGGGAGAACTACGGTGGCTCAAGGAGCTCCTGGTAATCTCACTGTCGCTTCACAGAAGATACCAACAGTTCCCAGACTGATGTCAGGAGATTCTGATCGGAGGAGAGCAAACTCTACAACTTCTCAGGACACTACGGAATGAAAACTAGGGCCCTAAAAACAGAATCAGATGAAAATTAAAAACAAACAAAAACGTTCGTGCTTACCACAAGCTTATTGGTGATTTTAGCAGATACAAAACCAAATGTCAGTATATAAAGACAGGGATGCTTTTCAAAAAGCTGGACTGCGGATTTCTTGTAGATCATCACAGCTAATGTGATCACGGATCCAATGTGGAGAAAAGGAGAAAGGACACTTGTTCCCTGTGCAGGGCAGAGAGGAGATGGATTAGTGGGATTCGATACTGACCAACTCAAGCTTTTAAGAGCCTTGTAGAGTCTGACAGCCAACAGTTTCTACAATGGAGTATCAGAACAGCTCAGGAAAAGCAGCCACCCGGACTGGGAAGGCACAAACTGAGGAGTTCACTTTTAAGAGGCCAAGCTTATTTTATAAAGCAGGCCATTCTTTAAGAAAAACAAAACACACACACACAAAAACACAGGTGCATAAAAGTTTGTGCATATCACATAAATATAAGCATATCATTGTATGCATGTACAAATAAAGCTGAAGTTTTGGATATTACTATTTTTAAGACTAAGTGGAAACTCCTAGTTGACAAGTGATTTTATATAATTCAATACAATTTTTATTGATTTCAGAGAGGAATGGAGAGAGCTTGAAACATCAATGGTGAGAGAGAATCATTGATCGGCTGCCTCCTGCATGCCCCCTGCTGGGGATCAAGCCCGCAATCGAGCATGTGCCCTGACCAGAATTGAACTGTGACCTCCTGGTTCATAGGTCAATGCTCAACCACTGAGCCATGCTGGCCGGGCGATTTTAATATAATTCAAATGAAAAACGAAGTGACCCCCACACTGTCCTAGCATAAGCGATACTCACTGCTATCGTTGATCCGTTTTTCCCAACACCACCTGTGAAGATTACACGGAAATAATTCGTACAGGAAAATATGGTCCCTGCGACAGTACAAAGTGCAGGAAAAATTTTCACTTGAATATTCAGCACTGGAATCTTTAATAGGTAGAGAGAAAGAGCAATTAAAATATATACAAACTGAAATAGGAAAACAGACAGTCACATACTCAATTCATATTCTGATATGTTCTTCTTCATGCCCCCCAGTCTAGTAAATACTTAAACTAATGGAAGTTCCTCTCTCTTTTCCTTTATGAGCAACATAACAAGTCTGAAGAGACGAGGCTACACAGAAATTAATCTCACTGCTGACAGCAATCTTTAAAAAGAAAATAACTGATCCAACTTTATTAATTTGAGTCACAAGCTAAATGAGGCTCATTTAACACATCCCAGGAGTCTGGCAATAGTGAACTGGGCTGTCTTCTGGTGTTTTTATCAAAGAAGAGTTCTCTGTCTTTTTCTTTGTGCATTTTTTTAACTCTACCTCTATATCCGTAATTTGTTACTCATTGTTACGATAAAGCGTGGATGATGAAAGACTAAAAATATTCGAAACTGGATTGAAAACAAAAATTTGTAAACTGGAGAATGGAAGACAGAAGTTCTACTCAGAAGAGCTCCCAAGGCCAAATTGTTAGGATACAAGCAGCTAGGAAGCAGAGGGCAAGGAAGAAGGCGTTCACGTGTGGGGGACAAACATGGCAAGCACATCCAAGTAGGAAAGGGGCTGATTTAAAATAAGGGGGGCTGAGTGGATTGAGATCATGTATTTAATCTTGCGAATACAAATCCGTCATTTAAAATGAAATATATTTGCATTAATATTTAAAATCATTTAAGAGTCTCTCCCTTCCTATACCTCCCCTTTAGCTTTTCTAAAGTCTCAAGTTTTGCCCTAACCGGTTTGGCTCAGTGGATAGAGCATCGGCCTGCGGACTGAAGGGTCCGAGGTTCGATTCCGGTCAAGGGCATGTACCTTGGTTGCGGGCACATCCCCAGTGGGGGATGTGCAGGAGGCAGCTGATTGATGTTCTTCTCATTGATGTTTCTAACTCTCTATCCCTCTCCCTTTCCCTTCCTCTCTATAAAAAATCAATAAAATATGTTTTTTTAAAAAAGTCTCAAGTTTTGTCCAATATAGATGGAAAGAAAGCAACAATAAAATGATGAGTCTAAAAATAGAAACAAATGACTATAGGAACAAGATTCCCAAAGCCCAGGCTTAGCAGGCAATGAGTTTTTACAACAAAAACAATTTAATGAAGGCTGCCGACGCTTTTTAGGCTGCCATCTGCCTACACTTTTAAAACCAAATAGGAAATCTGAGATTTTCTATTTGTTCATATGTATAAAACTGCAGTGAAATTAGTAGATATAATTCTTAATGTTTAGCTCCTCAATTTCTTCAAAATTCTTAAGACCTCTGTTTGTTTACACAACTCTATGACCTCTTGCAAAACTGCAAGTCTAAAAAAAAATAAAAGTTGGAATCAACTGTTTGAACTTCAAGTTGTACTGTGGTGGTGTTTACGCTTCTAACATGAAATAGGTCAACTTAAAAATCAAGCCCAGACCTCCCTGGACCATCCTCAATGCTGTCCTCCTTCCCTAATTGATCTCCAAACCCTACAGACCAATCCAAAACTTGTTTTCCATAAAAGAGAAAACCAACACCATGGCTGCTTGAATTCCAAGAGATTTTTCTGCTCTAGTTCAGAAAACTAGGACTATTGCAGTGCGAACCTGAGGCACCTGGCGGAAACTCCAAATGCGGGCTGGCTCCCTTTCTGCTCCCGTGACAAAGGACCTGTCTGGCAAGAGGGAAACCCTACACTCTCCCACAGTTCCAAAGCAGCAAGGCATTAAGGGGCCTGCCTGAATGTGGGCCAGTGGACGGAATGAGCGCCAAGGCTGGCCTTGCAGAGAGCTGTGCACAGCTGGGCTGGACAGCGTCACAGCTGTATTTAAAATCTGGAAAATGCTTTAGGATCATGGAAATGGTTGCCTTTTGAAAGAAGAGAGAAGCAGCAGAAACATTAGCAAAGCCAGGCAAATTAGTAAGTGGCTTGGACCCAAAGTGAGCAAGAACAGACTCAGAAGCAAGTACCAGAAACCTGCTGAGGACGCTGCTCACCCGTCCTGTGATGGCCACACGCACCAACCCTGGGCTCCTGGGTGTGAGGCTGTGTTTGAGTTGATTTTTACCTTCTCTCTAGAGCCCCACATATTGCAGGGGCTCCGTACACACCTGCTGGATGAAGCGCTCCCTTTCTCTTACTCTCCATGTGGAATTAGTTTTGCGAGCGTATAAGACACACGGGGCCCCACACTGAGAGGGAACAGGGAAGGGAGCTACCAGGAAATCGGAGGCTGAGTGAAGGGAACGCTGGGGCCAGCGGGATCCCGAGCCTCTCCCGGCGATGAGCCCTTCAAAATCGGCACCACCTGCTCCGCTTACAAAAAGCACCAGAAGTGTTGTCACTGGCACCTCACACCCAAGATTAAGGAGGGTGGGCACATTGTCTTTCCCAGTCTCTCTCTGTCCTCCTGGGGCGCATCCAAGGGGGCCACAGTGCATCCACTCTGCAGGAGCAGCCACAAAGCTGCGTGAAGACACCTTTACCTCAGGCCTCCAGGGCTTCGGAGCCTCCGAGGCTGGCCAGGACAAGAAAAGCTCTCCTGGGGCCTGGGGCCTGCCCCACAGCCAGGGAAAAACCCTCTGGATTCCCTGGCTGCATCCAAAGTAATACCAATCTAATGGAATTTATGTTTGAAAAGGGTGGAAGTGGAAAAAAGATCTTAAACCCTCAATTTGCCAGATTGACAATGGACCCATGTTTTGGTTCAATGGTTTGGGTTAATGTAGAATATCGGTTACTAACTGTTACACTAGTTTTCTTATGAGCATAATAAAGTGTTCTTATAGGTTCTATAAATTTCAGCAAAAATAGAAAGTACTATTTTGAGTATAGATACTTTCTTCCAAAGAATGTGGGCTATGCTTATTTGTAAATACTTTACCTAATGAATAAGGTGTCTCATGGCTTAATACACACACACATTTAATCAACTAGTACATTTACGAGAATCAAATGTCAGTGAGAGTAACCATGTGGGGATTATTTGTGGGTCCCCTTCAAAGTTGTATGTCCCTCCCCCCCTATTTCAAAAGAGTGATACGATAACAGATAGTTCCCAGGGGTTCCAAATGGATATATTCCTTTGGGAAGCAATACACACACAAAAATGTGTTATTTTATTTCTTGCAACATGTAAACCACGCCCTAGTGGACTTTTGTGCATAAAAGTATTTTTTCCTTAAAAAACAGAAAAAGAAAAAGAAAGAAAACAAAAACAAGACAAAAAATACCCAACCAAACAAAACAAAATGGTAAAAACTGGAGAATGAAGAGAAAGAAGAGCAGCAAGAACGTGTGCTCCATACGCAGCAGCGGACATGAACCACAGCAGCTGATCTCCTGCAATCAGCGTTATGAAGACCTCTGCACTGTTTTTGTTTGCCATAAATTTGCTTTCTGAATATTAGTAAAAGCTTTTGAATGAGGACTTAGAAAGCATTTTCCATTTTATGACATCAACCTCAGAAGAGATGAAAATTTCACATCTAGGCCCTAAATAAACCATCTCTCCATTTTGGCACACAGGTAAGTGGGAACACTATACATAGTACTCTTTCCTGAACGAACATGTTCAGCCATAAATGCTTAGGGCCAAGTAAGAAGAAAACGGTGAAGTGCAGTGGCCTGCGGTCAGGTGTGGGACTCTCCTGGGGACCGTCCGCTCAAACACAGACCTTTTCTCTACGCTCCCAAACAGCACCAGGAGGTGAAGTCCTCCCTTCTCATCCACTGATGGTGACGGGAGGACCAGTGATTCGAATAAGACAGGGCGGGGGGTTTCCCTCTGCTACTCACCTCCCTAACCCTGAAACTGGACTGGGGGGTCTGCGAACTCCAGGTTAGCCTGGAGCCCGAGGGTTCCTTGTAAAACACTTAATAAAAAAGGATGATTATACTTTCTTAATTATCAATAAAGATAGGACAAAATATTTGATCCTTTAAAAAAATTACATCTCTGATGTGTGTATAAATCCTAATTTAAAAAAGGCAACAAGTATACCTGCAGCAAATTTACTGCCAGGCAAAAGCCAAAGAATAAGGGGATGTGTGTAGCCTAAGTGGATATGTAACTTCACGTACAACAGTGCTTCATACTGATGAGGATAACTAGATGGACAGGTCTACATACCTGATGCTGGCTTTGTTTCTGGATGATCAAGCCAGAATCCCATTTCCTTTTTGTCATCAGTATGCTAAAACTATGGTTATTTATCTATGTTTAAGATATTCAAAATAATTTTTGGGGGGGGGAGGGCGGAGATTTTGGAATAAAACACAAAGCCATATAACAATTTTAAGTGGGGGTAGGCTTTAGGCTTAGGCTTTAGGCTTATGATCTAGTTTTAGGAAAAGAAAAATCCTTCTTCTATGGCTGATTTATTTTTAAAATGCAGTTATATAAAAAAATAACTACTAACCTAGTGGAGAGCAAAAGTAATAAAATTCTCTAGTGAGATCTATAGATGTCAGATTTCACTGAAGACCGTATTGGCTTTGAGACTGCGTGTAGGAAAGATGTGAATCTGCATGATATTACGTACATATTACGTACATGACTAAATAGTTTCAAACTTTTTCTTGTTGACTATAGATTATTTTTATCCCTTCATCCTCCACCCCCCCCCCCCCAATAAAGGGCATTAAATAATTTCTGGCAATAAATACTTAGGGAAGTGTGTTAATTTCACTTCCTCAAGTATCTAATTTACCATCATAAAGTGACTTAGGTGAGGGAAAACTCTTGCTCGGTAAACTTCCCTTATACCTTAAAATTAATCTGGTTTTCAAGAACTATGTTCGCACAGAAGCAGTAAATCTTTGTGGTAAGGTAACACCTACTAAGTGACAAATACTGTACTCTGCACGGGTGGTGGGAGCGGTCCGTGGTTAACCGGGCCAGGGAGGACAAACTACTCTGGCTCAGATCTGGAGGGTACATCAGCAACATTTGAGGCTTATTGTGTGATGGGCACCGTTCTAAGTGCTTTACACATATTTGCTCATTTAATCCACAAAAATCACCCGATGGGGTCGGGACTGCTGTCCTCATTGTACAGGGAGGAAGTAAGCAGCGGAGAGCTGACAGGTGACATTCCCACAGATGGGAGCTGGGGCCGACTCAGGTAGGCGGGCTCCTGAGCCTGTGTCTGAGCCTCCCTGGCACACATATCACAGTCCCTCTGCCAGAGGTTTCTGGAAGAGAATTTGGGACTGGAGGGGGGCCTATAGTTTAGGTCAGGTTGAAAACCTAGGGCATGGCTTGTTTAAAAAAACCACACACCAAAAACCCACTATGGCACTGGTTTCAATAGCATCGGTTCTGTTTGGGGGCCAGAGTTAACTTCCTACCCCAAACCTGCCATTCAGCTTGAAGCATATGACCAAAAAACTGAGTGCAGAAATGGAATAAAAGGGCCGATTTAACCATGTCATTGGTTATCTCATGCTCCCTGCTGTTTCCTCAGCTGTACTAGTAAAATGGAGTGACAAGTCATAATTGGAAAGCGCCTTGAGAACCAGCCCTGGGGTGCTGGCACCTAAGGCACCACATAGCTGTGCTAGTGAAATCCACCAGGCCCTAGAGAGAAGTTGGTGTCCGACTGCTGTGAGCCTTTCGTTTTCAGAAAAAAACAAAATAATTTTACATTTCACCCTGTAACCGTGTTATCCTCTATTAGAAACACAAGCAAAAGACAACATGCATGACATGGGATACACAATGTGAACGAAATTACCATAGATTGCCAAAAAGGTGGTCCTCCAATCACTGCCAGCAAATGCATGATTATTATGAAGATTTGCACTTCAGTCACATCAATTCTGATTAGGTACAAAAAGCCAAAAAAGCAGAATTACTCAAAACAATTTCAAGTTCATTAGTTGCAAGCTTAGCAGCGTTCCTCTATCATGCACAATCGACAAAAATCTCAAATATCGAGGAAAGGGGAAGAGGAGGTGTCACAAATTTGTTATGAGCAAAATCAAATACAATCCAGAGCCTTTTCATTTAATTTGATGAATTTCACAGAGCAATAAAAACCCCTCCTTTCCAAAGGAAGTTTCTGACTGAGGTTGGGCTGAAAACCAGAGCTTAACCTTTCCAACCAAAAAGAAAAAACAAAGTGTGTGTATTAAATTTTGAGTGTCAAGCAGAGGATTGCGTTGGACTGCTGTATAACACGAGATGTTGAAATACTGCTTTGTAGCATCCAGCGGAAGAAATGGAGAGCTTTCACTAGTCGCATAAACCACGGAGACCTTGTACAACGGACTGCCGTTTAGACATCCTCATGTCATGCCTTCCATGGTACGGGGGTGAAAAAAGTTCCACCCAGTTGTCAAATTCTCATGTTTATTAGGTCAACTACCCAAAGGTTTCTGGAAAGAAGACATTGAAAGCAGCCAAAGAGTTAGCTTCGAGGTAGCTGGAAATGATCGCACAGTCAAAAAGAGGCAAACGTGGTGCAAAAACAGGGCAGCAGAAATGAGAAGGCCGAGAGTCTGGAAAAAAGAATACGGGCAAAAAGATTGAGGAGCAAAGCCTACACTGGGGTTCCCTTCCTGCCGGCACTTCGTCAAACCTGGAGGCTCTCGTCCTCAGAGGCCTGGATCCAAAGGCCTTTGAATGTTGAGAACTTACCCTACAGATATGCCTGCACACCATGTTCGCACAAGGTGTTTCCTTACCGTGTTATTTATAATAGCAAATTAGAAATGAGGGTGTGGTCCCAGAAATTAGGTGCCTCGGTGGCATATTTGGTAGCTTTTTAAAAAAGAGTGGGGCAGCTCTTCATAGTGATATAGACACATACTAATGACATAATAGGTAAAAAAAACAACAACTATGTTCTAGATTGTGTATATGTTCCTTTTTCTATATAAAAATATTCTATTTTTTATTTTTGCCATCAATTCTATAACAAGTTGCTGGAAGGATAAATCATAAACTGAGAACAGTAGTTACCTAGTGGAGGGCAGCCTGGGAACCAGCCCGCTGGGAGAGGAAGCGGGGAGGAGACCACTAACTACGTATCTTTTTTATAATGTTAGTTTTTAAACCAAGTGAGTAATTTATCTGTTATGAAAGTAAACTTTTTTTTTTTAAGTCTAAGAAAAATAGGTATCGACAGCAGCCAGGGGGTTCAACTCCCAGAGCAGAGCCGAGCACTCATTTCTAAAGCTGACACTGAGAACAAACAGTTTAAGGGTCGGAAGCTCTCACACCCACAGCAAGTAACTAGGCTGAAACCGGTCTCTCACCGCTAAAAAAAACCTGATGTTTGTGTGCTCAAGAATGGTTTTTAAACAAGCTGATTAAGCTGCAAACATACAGTGATGCAGTTATCTTGATATACACATTTTTTATGGGGGGGAAATGGACTGGGTTAGGCTAAAAAGAATCTGTAGAGCTGACCTGGTGAGTGGTGTTGCCAATAAGGAAAATTACACTCAGTAGCAGACTCAGGAGGCTAAGCAGGTGTCAGAGACGATCGGCTTTGTCTCGGGTGGAGGGCAGACATCTTACAACATTTTGCTGGATATATGAAGTAGCCTTGTGGGAGGGGAAGGGCCAGAAGTATAGAATTACAAAATAAAAATGGAGGGAACCTCATGCAATTATTTGTACCTCGGATAAATGTAAAAGAGAATAGAAAACATGAGAGATCTTTACAAAGCCCCAAACTGGGATACCTACCACATGCACTTGGTTCGAATTCCAAGACAACTCAGTATTAAGTGAGGGTGTGAAGGGGTTTAACTGGCATTCGGGGAGAGTTGATAAGCATGGTAATCACCAATCACCTTTGCCCAGAATGTTTTACGTATTGTGTGCATTTCAAAGATAGACTTGCAAATTTGCAAACGTAATTTTTTTTTGTTAAACTATACACAGCAAATATAATTGTGTTGTAATCTGGGTTGGCTACCAGCTTGGTTAACACATGCACTAGGGCTAAATTCACCAAGTCAAAGAAACCCAGATTTGTACAATTTGACTTGTGAGCTATTATTTCAAAAGAAGCATTTTATTCAAAAGTCATTGAAGATGCCTGGAATCCTAGTCAAAGATTAGATTGCTATTAACTGCAGATTTGCAATTATTCATAAATGGACCTGAGGTGCTAGGGAACATGCATCACCAGAATAAGGCATTCCTTATGTATGTTACCAGAAATACCAGGGGTGGGGTGAAGACTGGCAGCCTGGAGTAAAGATTAGCTCGAAATGCAATACACTGCCTTCCGATATTTAACTTCCTGCCCTTGATAAGGGGCAAATTGGGCATGGCAAGCTTAGGTTAATGCTAAATAATTATTACCAGTACAGCTGAGTGAGAACCATGAGTATTTTAAATTCAAGTATTATCTACAGAGGAAGTCTAAATGTCTATTTCTAAGGTAAGCTGAATTATTTAAAACAGTATTGTCTACCATGTGAATGATCACCTGGATCTTTAGATTATCTTTGAAGACTTAAAACAAAAACAAAAAATAACCTGTCTAGTGACTTTGAGTAAGAAGAGAATAGCCAAGGGCTAGCGTAGAGCAGGTGCTCCAAGAGGGATCCAAGTTTGCTAAGGGGCAGCCTGTCCTTCTCATCTTGGAAAACAGTCCTCTCACCTCACTGAGTGATCATCTTGGAGTTAAATAAAGGGTTCCCAGGCGTATTCTCCCACTCACACTAGCACAATCAATTCCGGAAGAAACCTGGAGACCATCGGGAGTTACTAACACAGGTCTGAAATTAGTAATAATGGTAATGATCACTTATTATATGCCAGTCACTATAGTTAACACACTATATTTTTTTTACTCTTAATCTTCAAAATCACGTTGGGAGGCAGGACCTAGTACCACCATCCTATAGGTGAGACATTTAGTGAGATAGGCAAAATGACTTCCACGGGCCCATGGCAGAGATAGTAAGTGTTGTTCCTACACAATGCTGACCAAACTCTCCTAAATTTTAGACTATGAGTCAACAGGGACAAACGTCTGTCACAGGTGTTTAACTTGCTATCACTGAGATGTTTATACGTTTCAGGATGATGCTTCTCGTCTTCTCACACAATTTTCTCTAAAATGGCACAGCCTAATAGGCAATAGCTGACATAGGAAGTTTCAATGCTAATAAATGAAATTAATTTGGAAATAAATTAGAAATAACCACTTGTTGTGAAGCTTATTTTTCCCCTGAACTCTGTAAGAAAAAAAAGTACATCTGACAATTTCATTTAAATGAGCAAATCCGTTAAAGTGACAAATACTAAAAGCAAAAGACATCTGCAGGGAGGACAGTGTATGTGGAGGAAAAGCATCTTTCATGTTAAAATGAAAATGCATTAGTTTCCACAAACATTTTAATAGGAGGGACCTCTAAATATAGGGCACTTAGTTATCACAGATAAACACAGTGAAAGTAAACAATATAGTCGATATCTTGACTATTAATTTCATAAGGAATAGTGGTGACAGTGACCTTTGGTGAATGTAATTAATAGTAACAGATGAGCTATGGAAAATTATAAATCTAGACAAGTGCAGTGAGCATAAAGCCTCAGATCTTTGGCGAGAGTACCAAAGACAGGTGAACAGGAAAGGAGTGCTATAGGGTGACACCCTGAACGAGGCACATGATTCTACCCCAGGAGGGACTTCCACAAATAATTATGAAAATATATTGTGAAGTCCATTGGAAATGGCTTTAGTTTTGTTCTTAAAACATGCCTAGAGTACTCGGTATTCTCCACATGCTAAATTTTTTTGATGAAAAAAAAAAAGTTGTAGAATATCCCTCACTATTGACTTGTCCCCAAAGTCATCGTTACTGCCACTGAATAACTAGATTTACAAAATAAACAGAATCAAAGCTCTATTTTTCTTGTAAATAAACTCTTTCATTCTAAAGTGTGAAGGATTCTGGCCTATTCTAGTGGGAAACCATTTCCTAATAAATCTTGAAATTTTAAAAGTCCTAAGGTCAAAATCAGACTTCTAATATATGAAGAAAAAGATATATTTCTTACTCTTAGCATTAACTACAGAAATATGTATTTAATATTAAAAAGCACAACCTGAAAAGGAAAGTAGTCAAAGGATGACTATAGTAACAGGAAAGCTAAAGATACTTAGTTTTAAAAGCACAAGAGAGGAAAATATTAAACATAATAGAAGCGAGAACAGCTTGTAGCATTAATTTTTTAAAAACAAAATCACTGCACACAGAAGCAGAAGCACTAGTACTACATAGCTTAAATGATACGCTAAGTAAGTGAAAAGAGTAAATGGAATCTTTTCTACATCGCTATAAAAAGCTCTCTCGACTTAAGTATCTAATGAAAACTCTGCTTGCTTTATTGTTTTCAAAATATAAATACCCAAAGAATTCTATTTCATGGTGGAAAGGTATTTGTTTTTTAAAAATATTATATAGAGCAAAAATAATATTGGTTACAGTAGGTAAGTGGGAGAGAGAAGTGTTTTTAGCATCAGATCATCAAAATATTATTTTTAAAAAATTCTGTTTAATAGGGTGGATTTTTATTGCCCTATTATATATTAAAATTATTCGTTTTCTAATAACCTGTTTGCCTGTGAAATACCACCAGACTTTTGATTTTTTGTTTTTTAATTACTCTGTGCATGACAAAGGTGCTGTCTTCATTGAGTTCACGCCATTGTTCATTGGACAGCATGAATAATCTAGCAGTTACCGTGGAGTTCCAGAACCAAGGTCCCAGGGTTCCTGTGAGAAGCTGGCATATTATAATTATGATCTGGGACTCTGTAACATCGAATCTATGCATAAGGAAACAAACATTTCAAAATAGCTTTACTCAGAGCTTCTGCTAAAGAGCCCTACTAAAACAGGTAACAAATTGAGATTTAAAATGTAGCATTCTCCTTATAATGACATCTAAAGTTTCAACAATACGATATATACAATACTATCGTCCTCCCATGCATACATGGACATTTCTTACCCAAATCCAAATAGTAGCAAAGCGTAAAAATTAAAACCGTAACACTGAATAAATGACTTGTAAATCGGCAGCTGGAAACACTAGAACTAAAAACACAAGTCAGCTCTCAGTGACCTAGGAATGGTGACTACCGCTTGTTAAATAATCACACCGTCTGCGAGGTAGGTACCGTGAGCGCCAGGACCTATCTGGACAGGCCTGTGGTAAATGCTTCCCAGCAGCCCCAATGTACAGACATCTGTGTGTTTGGGAAACCACGGATATCTCGCATCCCTTCACCACCCCACACTCACCTCGCCCCTACCTCTGCTCTCAGTAACACCAACACGTGAAGGGGCAAGGGCGAGTGGGGAAGGGTGACCTTTAGGAATTGGTTAGAGCAAAAATCAAAGTGGCCTTTTCATTGTTCTGCTTCCTGATCATCTCTAGTCCAGAATCTTATCCTCTCCTCTTTCTCTTCCCTTAATTCCAGCTGTCACTCTCTACTACACTGGAAACGTTTATTAGTGGTCAAAGTAAAGAAAACATCCAATTCAATCGCTAAAAAATTTGGTGACAAGATAGTGAAAAGCTAGTTTGGGGGTGGGGGTGGCCGGGGAGAGGTCAATGGGGGTAAAAGGAGACTCATGTAATACTTTAAACAATAAAGAATTTAAATTAAAAAAAGAAAAAAGCTAGTGGTTTAGAACAGGCTCCAAATAAAATGGGCACAATCAAATCTAAGAACCAAGGAGTGCTAATGGTCAAGGCCCACAATTTCACCTGCTGATCCGGAGTCCAAACTGCACTCAGGTTTTACATTCATATAGTTGTTTTTAGGATATTATCTATGATTTTTTGATAAAATGGGCAGAGTCCAAATGAGTGAATCATTGCTGAGAAAAAATACACGGGAAAACCGAAACTAAAGGGAAATCTTTTGGTGTTCAATAATCCACGTGATAAATCTTAAACATTTACAGATCCAGATCCTATCAAGGCATTCGACAAGAAGTTTCCTCATTTCCAATGCACAGGAAGTGGATCAGACATTAATAGTTTTGAATGACTAGGAGGTTTTCAACTATTTATTCTTTAGAGCAGGGGTGGGGAACGTCCAGCCCTCAGGCCATATAAGGCCCACAAAATCATTTGGTCTGGCCCCGCCAAGGGAACTGCAGGCGGGACCTGAAATTCAATAAAGCTAGGAGCTTTTTTCATAGCAACATAAATTTATATTAAGCGAATAATATTGAGCAAATGATGTTATAAATATCCAAATGGCCCTTGGCAGAAAAAACGGTTCCCTAGCTCTGCTTTAGAGGTTACCTGGGTAAGAAGGTGAACTGGATTTGTCAGACTACCAGTAGAATACATAGCCTATTAATTTTTTTCATTTAATTATAGAAAAAAATGTAATAAAGTGAAGAAAAATACTCTACCTGCCATAATTATAAGTAATAAGAACTCTGGAAGTAATCTTTGTAAATTTAATGGACTCACAAAAAGAACCTTAGATGTCACCTAATCCCAAACTCTTACTTTATACATTAGAGAATGAGGACCATGAAGGTTAGGGCCTTGCCCAAGCTAATGTACAGAGGAGGCCATTTGGAGAGGACACTTGAGGCAAGACACACTGGCCTGAGTTCAATTTACTATAATTACTTTCTTTTTTTCTCCTCCTGAAAAGGTAACTTCAGAGCTGTGTGTTTTTTTTCCCTAGCCAGTCAGGCTCAGTGGATAGAGCGTCGGCCTGCGGATTGAAGGGCCCCAGGTTCAATTCTAGTCAAGGGCACATGCCCGGGTTGCGGCCGATCAATGATTCTCTCTCATCATTGATGTTTCTATCTCTTTCTCCCTCTTCCTTCCTCTCTGAAATCAATAAAAATAGACTTTTTTTAAAAAACGAAGGTTGTTTTTTCTGAAATGATAATTTAAGAAAGAGTTCTATCTTAAAGATTTTTTAGGGCCCACGGTTTGCATAAATATAGTTCATTAAGGATTGTTTAGGGTTTCTAAGCATTTAATTTATTAAAATGATTCTACACAGACATCTACATGTTATACATTGAAAATACCTGGATACGGAGGGTTTAGACCAGTAATTCCCAAAGTGGGCGCTACCGCCCCCTGGTAGGCGCTGCAGCGATCCAGGGGGGCGGTGATGGCCACAGGTGCATTTGGGGGCGATGAGTAACTGCTATTAAAATTTTAAAAAAATTAATTTCCAGGGGCTGAGTAATATTTTTTCTGGAAAGGGGGCGGTAGGCCAAATAAGTTTGGGAACCACTGGTTTAGACCTTGAGAGGAAATGTGAACTCTTGCATTTAATATAATCGACAAACAATTTAAAGAATATTTTACAAGTGTTTACAAATGAGCTTCAACTCATAATTCTTATCTTCTCCCATGGACTCAATCCTTCTACGAAGTTCTAGCCTCTAAACCTATTCCCTCCCCAGCCTTTCCTATCCAGGCTTATAATAACGATCCTGACGGGCTCAGCTGGCCTGGGAGGGTCCGATGAGCAGTACTCATCCACCAGCTCCACTTGCTCAGACCAGAAGCACCGCCAGGACAGGCCCTGGGTACGGATGTGGTGGGCACTGCTCCCTGCACAAGGCGGCTTTTACCTGTGACCAGAGTAAAGTGCTGGCAGGTACAGCTCACACCGGCCACTCACAATACCTGATGCTGAGTGGAAATTAGCTAGTAATGGATGAATTAAATTACTGGGCCTCTTTATTCAAGGTACTAAGAGCACATTTAACAGGAACTAAAAATAGTGACATTAGGAGACTAAGGAAAACAAATACAAATTTCTAATTTGGCAAACATTTTGTTTTATAAGGTTATTAAAGGTATAGCAACCCGAATTTATGGTATATAAAAAGAAATCCTCGTGATTTTTTTCACGCATGTGTGTAAACATCAAAATAATTAAAATAAGTATTTAAAAATAAAATTCCTAAGGGGCCTAAGGCTGCTTCCACTTTCCTCTGAGTAAGAAGAAGGGATTAAAAAAAATTTCTTTATTCAAACTACATTTGAGGGTTGCCCTTGCCCTTCCTAATTAAACAAAATAAACTCTGGGCTTTCTCCTCCACGACACAGACTTGGCTTCCTTAGACATGTTCCTCTGCTACTTGCTCTCGCAAAACCTGTGAACGCCAGCATGGCGTTTTTAGAACTTCTTTAAAAATATCGTTATTACTCCATATACACTGGCATTTGGATAAATATCTTCTTAAATGTAAAGCATTGGCAGCATATTTCTATGAAGGCAGTAACTTACTTTTAATTTAAAAATATCAATTCAGCGTTGCCTTAATGTGAATGCAGGATTTCAGAAAATAGTATACAATTTTCCCAAATCAAAACCAATCCCTTATAATACTATTTAATTTAAATGGAGATGTTAAACGCAAACTGGCCTCAATATCTCACTGTAATTTTCACACCATTGTAAGGCAGTGCCAGTTGCTCCTGTCTTTACCCTCCTCTCCTCTCTAGTCGACTTCCTGTGTATGCTGGGACCTTTCCCATTAAAAATTAGTGGGAATTAACTTTTATAAAATATAAAACCCTCCCTCCTTTAAGCCATGTTCTCTCTTGCTGCTTCCCACCACAGCCACCCATTCTGTACGTGGCCTGCGCTAACTGCGCTTACGTATTCCTTTCACGTGTCACCCCTACAATCTGGCTTCTGCCCACTACAGAGAAACCACTCTGACGGCCTCACACTGCCAAATTCAATGTACACTTCTCTGTCCTCATTTTGAGTCTTGGCAGCACTTAGCATTGTTCTCTTTCAAAATCCATTCCGGTATGCCTCCTCCTACTCCGCTGTTCAATTTCAAGGGCTTCTTTCTAGGCTTGCTTTCTATGTTTTCTGCTATTCTTATCCTATCCAATGTTTAAAATCCCCCATATACATCTTGTAGATGGAACTCTCCCTTCAAATAGGCTCCTCCGGCCTGGCCGGGCAGCTCAGTTGGTTGGAGTGTCGTCCCCATGCCAAGGTTTGGGGTTCGATCCCCGGTCAGGGCACATACACGAATCCATCAATGAATGCCTAATTGAGTGGAACAACAAATGAGTGTTTCTCTCTCTCTACCTCCCTTCCTCTCTCTCTCTCAAAAGGCTCCTTCTCCTGTAGTGCCTTCTCTACCTTCCATCCACCCACCTGAGAAGGTGATCTGGGAGCCATGCCAGTCTCCGCTCCCTCTCACTCTCCATATCCAGACAGAGATGTCCTACAGTTTCTACCTCTAAATCTCCAACCTCCCCCTTCCTCTTCCACAGCAGTCTCTGTGCGAGTTCATTCCTCACATTCACTGTGCTGATGCCTCCTAAGGGGTCTCCTTCCTTCTGTCACAGTCTCTCCAATCCATTCATCAGAATGCTGTCAGACTGACCCTGGTTAGGCCCTGCAAAGGGTCCCCACAGATTCAGGATCAAAGCTCACATTTCTGGGCAGGACAAAGGCCCTGGATTTTCTGGGTCTTCTCCAGCCCTAGCTCCTGCCACTCCCCTACAGGCATCTGGTGCGCTAATGATGTGGCGCTGCCCGCAGTTCTCCAAGTACGTATTTCGTCAAAGGAATACGCCACCAGGACAACGCTAAGGCTGGCGAACAGAAAGCTGTAAGAGCAAGTCATGCCCACAAACACCATCCATTTCCTCCTCCCCTGCTTCCAGGGCTTTCGCTTTCCTTCCCTCGGGGCTCACACCATGTGGGTGATACTGCTTTACTTAAAGGGAAAGAGAATACATTAGGGCTAGGTGACAGACACCTTTTCAAAATAAGGGCCTGAAAGTTAACTCTGAGATCATACCAATGAAACACAAACTGTGTGAAATCCAGATAGTAAAAAGTACCATCACTTAATTAGGGCAAACCAAGTGATCGTAGAAGTCTGAGGAAAAAAACATTGGTACATAATATTTTCAAATAGTGCTTTTAAAAAATAGTATCAGAAATGTTAAATATTTTCTGAGCACTGATCATTTTTAAACTGCTGATGAATGCATAGTCTTCAATTGGACACTCACGTCCACTATTGTCTCTTATAATAAAAATAACATCTTAAAATGGGCCTTAAACATGTTCTCTAAACCCCTTTATTTTAAAATTGAGACATGTCTCTTAGTTAATATCCAAAATATTAATAATTATTTAGTTACTGTCATAAGAACATCTTAAATTATATTTAAATAAGTTTAGCAAAAGTCATCTCAACTAAACTTGTAGGGAACACCTGACTTTCTATGCACTGTATTTTTCAAAACCTCAACAACTAAATTCATTATGGATCTAATATTCAAAACTCCATTAATGATTCATCTTAATTAGAGACTAGGTTAAGATGTTCTATCATTTACCATCAGATTTTTATTTTGACATTTCATGATGTATTCTGAGTCTTTTTTCAAGTTCTTTCTCTTTTAATCTTACACCATGAAAAAAATAAAAGATTAACTCGAGCCATATAAATAGGATCTGTGATACTTAATTAAACACCAGTTGGTCAATTCCACCCTTAACCTCATTCCAAGACTGGTTTACTCATTAATATTTATGGATTAGTACGCTGAACTATTCACTTTGAAGTTTGAAGGAGTTTTTGTATTTTATTTTTAAATTCTTAGGCATTTTGTTGGCAGTAATAACCTATATGGTGTGCTCACGTCAATCAAATTACCAAGAGTTTATATTTTTATAGATTCATAAATTAAGCAATGTGAAAAGAATAAAACCTTATTAAGCTACAATATTTAGAAATTAGAGTTGCTCTTTGCTCTTTTTAAGTATCTTTTTCTTTCCTGAAAATGAATTTTCATAGATCAAAATAAAACACAGGCCCGGCTGGTGTGGTTCAGTGGTTGAGCGTTAACCTATGAACCAGGAGGTCCCAGTTCAATTCTGGTCAGGGCACATGCCTGGATTGCGGGCTCGATCCCCAGCAGGGGGCGTGCAGGAGGCAGCCGATCAATGATTCTCTCACATCATTGATATTTCTATCTCTCTCTACTTCTTCCTTCCTCTCTGAAATCAATTTAAAAAAAAAAATCAAAAACCAAAAAAACTGTGATAGAAGGACACATAATGGAGACCCTTACACAATAGCTAGAATAATGAGGGTTCTCAACTTCTTTCATTTACTAAACTAATTTTGTAATTTGACCAATACCTAATATTCAAATACCTATAAGCAACATTCTTGTTGCTTGAAAGATAAAACAAAATAAACATTAAGTACTACTTACATTCCAAATCGCAATGTTCCAGAAACATATGTTTGCCAGTGCGCACAATAGAACATGAACGTCCCAGCAAAACAACAAAAGAACATCCAATCGGGATTTGTCCCCAGTTGCACCGCAATACAAGTTCCAAGAACCACAAACACTGCAAAAGAAAGATCACAATGAACACCTGAACAATCTGAGTAAAAAAACACTGAGCTGACCGGTTTGGCTTAGTGGATAGAGCATTGGCCTGTGGACCGAAAGGGCATGAACCTCAGTTGCAGGCTCCTCCCCGGCCTGGGCCCTGGTTGGGGCGAGTGCAAGAAGCAACCAATCGATGTGTTTCTCTCACCAATATTTCTCTCTGTCTTTCCCTCTCTCTTCCACTCTCTCTAAAAATCAATGGAAAAATATCCTCCAGGATTAAAAAAAAAACAGACACAAGAAGGCCCCACACTCAGCTGAAATAATTTTAGAGGCAAAAGAAAGACATGCTGTAAATGTACAATCTCAGTTATCAATGATAAACAAGAAAGAATATAATCTTTTACATTATAGTTTACCCTGTAATTTCTTCTTTTTTAAAAAAAATATATTTTTATTGATTTCAGAGAGGAAGGGAAAGGGAGAGAGATATAGAAACATCAATGATGAGAGAGCATCATTGATTGGCTGCCTCCTGCATGCCCCCCACTGGGGATGGAGCCAACAACCCGGGCATGTGCCCTTGACTGGAATCGAACCCGGGACCCTTCAGTCTGCAGGCCAGCGCTCTATCCACTGGGCCAAACCAGGTAGGGCTACCTGTAATTTCAATCTTTTCTTTCTCTACACCAGCAGTCTCCAACCTTTTGGACCTCACGGACCACCGGTTGGTGACCCCTGATCTACACACTTAGTAAAACCTAAGTTTTTGAAAGCAACTAAAATACTTTAGCATTTTTTTTTTTTGGAGTATTCTCCCAACTTAGTGATAGTGTACTAATGAGCAGTAAAAAAAAATAAAAAATGACAAGGCAGAGTCAAAAAGAAAGAAAAATTAGCCTGGTCAGTGTGACTCAGTTGTTAAGCATCGACCTATGAACCAGGAGGTCATGGTTCGATTCCTGGTCAGTGCGGTCAGGGCACATGCCTGGGTTGCGGGCTCAATCCCCAGTGTGGGGTGTGCAGGAGGCAAGCCGATTAATGATTCTCTCTCATCATTGATGTTTCTCTCTCTCTCCCTTTCCCTTTCTCTCTAAAATCAATAAAAATATATTTTTAAAAAAGACAAGAAAAAAATAATTCACAAAGGGACCTACTTGTTTCAGATGGATAGCCGTCTTTTCTTACTTAGCAGATATCGTTACGGACTTCCCTATAAAAGTTTCCAACTCAAAACTACAGAGCAAAAATGACTATCACTTCAAATAAAACAGGATACCTACCATTCTGCTGTCAGGATACACAGAAACAGTAACTTTAACGTGCACCCACATCTGCAAATCTGAGTCCACGAGGGAAAACTATTGAGGGTTTTGTTTTTCTTTTAGAATATTTTCATTGCTATGCCAAATGACAACAAACCAACTAAAGAACTAATTAAAACTAAGTGTGTGGGTGGTGGTGAAGACTAGCTAGAAACTGTCATTTAGTTCCTAAATCTCTTGTTTTGCCCTCTAAAAAGGTACTGAGATATTACTTTACACACAGTACAAATAGAGACATATCATCTATAATCTAACTATAATAACTCATCTATCGCTAGCACATTAGTGTGTTTTTCTAGTCCTTTTCTCATAGTTGTACCCCAAATCTACGATATAATTTTAAATATCTACAAAATATCCATCTAAAGACTAGGAATTTCCTAGTCTTCCACTATTGTACTCACATCTATAATTTATGAGATTTTTTTGATGATGACAACAATGCCCTAAGATTTTTAAAAATAACTGGTGCCAAAACAATAATACTTCCGGTTAAAAAGAACTTTAGTGGAAATTAATATAAATTCTAAATTTCCCAATACAGCGAATAATGAACAAACATTAACCAGTTTTACAGTTTTTTGGAAATACTAAAACATATAAAATCACCATTCTGATAACCATTATACCACCATAAACCTCCTATTTATTCTAACATTGTCACATCCCCTTTGTCACTATTAATCATTAATATTTTAAAAAATCAATAGTACCTGTTGATAGTGAATCACAACCATGATCAAAAAGTTCTCCCAAAGGAGTACTACTATTGGTTCTTCTCGCCTGTTTTCCGTCTATGGCATCCAAAGACTGGTAGATGAAAAGGCCACACGCACAGGCAATGTATGCCCACAGAGGTGCCTGCGCAATAACACAAGAAAAGCAAGACTGTTAAGACACACTCATTCCTATGGTTGGCTAATATGCTTTATCTTCATTTTCCAGAGAAGCACTACTGGTTGGAAGCTCTGGGAGAGAAAATCCAGGTGCTACATAATGAAAAACATTCTGAAACCATCCGAACTGTAAAAGAATTAAATGCCTTAGTTAGTACCGGTGCTCAAGCAGAAACTGGATTACACTTCCCAGGGACATGACAGAAATCCCATGATGGATGAGACGCAGTAATTTCTACAAGATTCTTTCTAACATTTAGATTCTAAGAGTCAATGAATGAATAATGTAGTACCGTGTTTCCCAAATTGTATCTTTCAAGATGTTTACAGGTATTACATGGAAAAACAAACAAACAAACAAAAAACACCTTCCATGCTAAACTCATGTGGGAAACACTGGCTTAAACAAGTCCATCCTAGCCCTAGCCCATTTGGCTCAGTGGATAGAGTGTCGGCCTGCAACTGAAGAGTCCCAGGTTCGATTCCAGTCAAGGGCACATGCCCGGGTTGCGGGTTCCATCCCCAGTAGGGGCGTGCAGGAAGCAGCTGATCAATGATTCTCTCTCTCCCTCTAACCTTCCTCTCTGAAATACAAAACAAAAACAAAAAACATACAAACTCAGTACAATTGGAGGGCTTTTACTGGAATCGACCCACTTCCCTGTTATTCTTCTGTATCTCTAAAGATGTGGGCAATCTGGAAGTAGCTGTCAGGACCTCAAGTAAGCTACTTGTAAAACAGCTCAAAGCACAGGTAATAAGGAATCCAAGGACAGCCCGGCTGGTGTGGCTCAGTGGCTGAGTGTCAACCTATGAACCAGGAGGTCACGGTGCGATTCCAGGCCAGGGCACATGCCCAGGTTTTGGGCTCCATCCCCAGTGTGGGGCTTGCAGGCGGCAGCCGATCCATGATTCTCTCTCATCATGGATGTTTCTATCTCTCTCTCCCTCTCCCTTCCACTCTGAAATCAATAAAAATGTATTTTTTTTTTTAAAAAAAAAAGAAAGAATCCAAGGACATACTTGTGGAGGAGGAGACTAGTTCATGACAGGTCCTGGCCTGACCATTGCAGGGCCAGCTGGCCAGGTCCAGATGGCCCCGGGCCAGAACAGAGGTTGCTTCCGGGAAATCCCCTCCTACTGTCAGCTGGTTCCCGGAACTGGCTGTTGCCCTGCCCCTACCGAGTGGGTCACACCCGAGTAACCCTCTCCATCCTGCCCTGTTCTACGTAAGCCTTTAGTGCCTGCCCTGGGAATCCGTCCCCCATCATATGTAAAGTTAGACTGGCTTTTGTTTTATAAGTTTCCTGACTGATGTAAAGTACGATAGTTAAGAAAATGAGGAAAAACCAGAATATGTCCATTCAATCTGTATGGACTGGATTTGTGTAGTTGAAGAGGAATTAAACTAGTTATTCCAGGATGAGGGGGAAATGAGCTCTGGGAAAAAAAATTCAACTATGAATTGATGAAAACAGAAAAGGACAGATGATGACAATGTCACCTGTAAGGACAAATCATATGACATGACTACTTAGAAAACTGTTATTTCAAGCTTAAAACATACAAGAAATGTGTGGCCATTATGACGCATGGTTCAGGGTCACTTTTAACACCTTTAGTTGAGAACCACCTTCTATTTTCTTGGGTTCCGTGTGACCAGCCATTCTGATTAATACGGGCACCACACACGTTTGGTTCTTTCCTCTGCCTAACTACCGCAGTTCACTTTCTGACAAGGACATTTTAAATCCAAAGAAGTACACGATGTACCCACTCTGATGAAGGGTCCTGGTTTCAGTTTTGGTTTTAAGTAATGAGCTCAGAGGGAAACAGAGGAAGCAGCAGTAGACACTGCGTCTGAGGCGGCCCCGGGAGGGCGTCCCCAAGCTATCCCATGCTTCCTTTCTGAACGGCAGCCATGGCGGGGACACAGAGCAGGGGAACCATGACATTGACTTTTTCTTACACTTCTCTTGCCTTTTAGAACCACAGAGATATCGGAGGTCTACCAGCCACATGTGTTTACGGGGGAGAAGAGCGATATTCAACAATCGCCCTGGAAGGAAGAGGACAGCACTTTGGATATGACTGATGTACAGCGTGTACCTCGCTACCGCAGACTGCTCTCTCTGATTATTTTAAACTTTGCTAAGATTGTATTCAGCCATCCTCCCTCCCCACCCCAAAAAAAGAAAGAAAACTCTTTTGTAAAGAATTGAGATTTACTGATTCTAAAAGGGACGTATTAATCCCCACTAACATTAATTTACCTGCCAGAATCAGAGTCCACCCTCTACTTACGGTTTCTCTTACCCATAGTGTATGAGGTAGGTTGCAGTAGCAAGTTTTATTAAAATATCTTATGTGGCAGGACATTTGAAAAGAGTTGGCAAGAAGTTGTCAGAGTATCTGATCTTTAGCTAGACAGACCTAGAAACCTCAATGACGGTGTTGCTGGTATGTAACACATGTGCGTCATTGTCATGAAGAAATTCCTTACCTGCTCTGTAGCTGTAGGGCAGTAAAAGACTAATAAGACTGTCGTGCAGATGTTTATGGACAGCCCGATGATGGTGATGAGGTTCGGGGCGATCCAGGAGGGGACTCTTCCCACGAGCCACTCCCAGTACCCCTGCATCAGGGGCTCCAGCAGGGACCGCCCGGCACTCTGGTATCTGTGCTCTTCCAGCCGCTTGAGCTGGTGCCTGGACAGCGGTGGCGTGGGCAGCTGAAACAACTTGTTTAACACACACCCTGGAGTACTCATGTGCCCGAAGCCCACGGGGGACTCCGCGCGCGCGTCCCCACATCGTTTCTTGGACGACCGCTGGCCACTCATGGACTCGGGCTTTCTTTTATTCGGAGAGAATAATTTATCTTGCTTTACAGCTTTTTGTGGCTGGTCTTTACCTGGGAGAGAGGGGGGGTGTAAACAAAAGTTTTGTCAGCCATTATTTACATCAATGTCAGTAAATTAAAAAAATAAAAAGTCAAACTGGTAATAGACTTTCAAACCGGGACCAGAAAACCAGGGGTTTGCTTTTCGTTTTAGTTCGTATTGATGGTGCTTCCTGTTCCCTTACAGTGTGACTTCAAAGTTCATGGTCTTTTTTTACGTCACTGCCTTCAGTACTATAATGGAACAAATCTTGTAAGTGATCGAATCATTTCCAATACATGAAAACGGAGGTCCAAAGGCATACCCCAAGAGCTAGCAAATGAGTATTTACATCGTGGGTCTTAAACTAGATTTTTTATTGAATGCTGACAGTTAACATTTATTGAGCACTTACTATGTACGAAAAACTTAAAGCATGTTTTCATGTTTCCCATATTAACTCATTTAATCCTCACAACAACCCCCGAAGGTAAGGACTGTTAATTATACCTATTTTTACAGAAAGTGAAACTAAGGCAGAGAGGGGCTGACTTCCTTGTGAGGTCCAGACAAACACAGGCTTCCTGTTTAAGCTAAAATAAAAGATAAAACTTCTCGCCAGTAGAAAGGGATTCTCTACAGACAGTATTCCCGGTGGGGGTCAAGAGCAATGAAAAGGTGACTTTCAGAGGACAGATGGTATCAGCAGTGTGACCGATGAACTGAGGCGATAAGGAGAAAGGCTACGTGAATTGGTGATGACTGTTCACAAAGGACTTTGAGTTTAATCCCTGAAGTACGTGACTCAAAACATATTAGAGATAACATAATTATTGTTATTAAGCAGTGTAAGAAAATAATGACGTGTATTTTCAAGATTAATAGGATAGATATATGTTAATCAGAATAGAGATAGTGAGAACATTTAAAAATTAGTATGGCTCCGTTGATTGGAGTATTGCCCATACAATATACAATGAAAGGTCACAGGTTGGATTCCTGATTAGGGCACATACCTTGGTTGTGGGTTCAATCCCTGGTCAGGACATGCTTGGGAGGCAACCGATCAATGTTTCACTCTCACATTGATGTTTCTCTCCCCCCACCCCCTTCCTCTTCCTTTAAAATCAATAAAAGCATGTCCTTGGTTGAGAATTTAAAAAATAAATAAACAAACAACAATTAGTACGGAGACTTCAAAGGTTTGAAGTGGTGAGGGCCTAGAGTAGGTTGGTAAAAATGGAAACATGAAAGACAGTCAAATCTTTAAGTAATTTCTATTTAAAAGGAAGAGTCAAGAGAAAGTACTTGGGGACTAGAAGGAGCAGAGGAAAAAAGTAACCAGCAGAGACTCGTGGTCCTACTGTGAACAGGGGTTGGGAAGAAGAGTCAGCTGGTTATTTGGCTTTCTATTTAAAAGGAAGAGTCAAGAGAAAGTACTTGGGGACTAGAAGGAGCAGAGGAAAAAAGTAACCAGCAGAGACTCGTGGTCCTACTGTGAACAGGGGTTGGGAAGAAGAGTCAGCTGGTTATTTGGCTTTTGGTGGCGGGTGGGGGATGAGAGAGGACCTGGGGCTGAGGGTAGGAAATACAGATGTGCACCTTTTAGGTACAGGTGTTTCAGACAAAATCAAATGACTGGGAGTTTGGGTACGAGATGAAAATATCATTATCACTTTAGAAGCTAAAGTCTAGTTTAAGGCTAAAAAGTAGGAAAGTTCAAAGGGATTAGGTATGAAGAGAAAATGAAACAATGAACCTTGTGGGAAACTCACATTTAGGGAGCAGGAGAAAAAGAAGCCGTAAGAGACTTGAAAAACAAAACGAAACAAAAGGAATAATCTTAAGCAGTGGCATTGTACCAAAAGGGTGCACACTGATCTTCTGGTAGAGAGATACCCAGAACGCTCTGTGACATTCCCAGAAATGCCGCACCACGGAACACAGAATGTGATCCGGGGTCTAGGACATCTCAACAATGGATCTAGTATCAAAACATGCCCAGGACTTCTTGCCTCTACTACCATAAGCAACAAATTCCAAAATTTCAGTGTCACAAAAGATCTAAAGTGGCATCCAAGATCACAATCAGTGGGGCCACGTGTTAAACCCGACAAGCTCAGGGGAGGCCTGCATGGTGGGCCTTGCAGACTCAGACACCAAAAGTAACCACACAGGATGGTCTGAGCATAGCTAACGGCAGGTCATGGTGGGTAGTCACATCCTAGGCCATGGTGGGTAGTCACATCCTAGGCCTGTAGCTTCCTTGACAGAAGTCACCCTTAACTTTAAGTGAGCTTGTCTACTGAAGGTCTCCTTTTCCAGACCCCTCAGGGCACACCCACTGCAACAGAGCACAGACCACAGCACCCCTCATTGTTATCTTATTCCCCAAACCATCTCTATGTACAATAAATATTAATTGTTAACTATCCTATACTCACCAAAGTAAAATACTGTACGTGTCACTATGGTTTACTCTTCATCCACTCTCAGAGACTCCCCAGCTTTGCTTTCTCCCACCTCCCAAATCTACTACCGATGAATTTCATGTATTCCCCCTCCCCCTCCTTTGATTCTCATGTATAAAATAAGCAGCAAAACTACCATTCTCTGGAGCATTTTCTCAATCTGTTGAGATTTTGCTTCCTGGCAATTGTCAGTTTAAATTCATAAAAGTTCTCAACAGGTTTGGACATTTCTTAAGTCGACCTGTGTCACAAACCAATTGATTACAACTGTAAGCAATACTTATATAATGTCAAACAACTGGTTACAAGATCGTTTTAGATCAAGTGACAGACTGATAACCACCGAAATACTTAGCTTTATAGTAAGCCAGCTTTTCTATAGTCAAACTTAGTATGCGTTTTTATATTTGGTATGCTCTCATGGGATTCCACTTAAAGCTGGAACAGAAAGTTTAGCCAACTTAACTTATATTTTAATATTATAGTATTCCATCCCCCCCCCCCCTTTTTAAAGGTAACATATTGAGGGTGCTGGCCCACTTTTGGCACTAACAGCTACAAGCAACCGATCCTAATGGTTTTAAGTTTGAGCGTTTGGCAGGACTGTATGATAAACTGATACTTTTCCTTCTGGGTGTTTTCCCTTGCTGACCTAGATTTTTTTTTTTTAACCCTCTATTGCTCTCTTGGAAAATATCTACATTTTGACAAACCTTTCTAGATCTAGCCACTGTCTAATTCACCCAGGGGGCGAAAAGCCAAAAAGTTTTTGAACATTTCAATTTGGCAAGATTGTCTCTGTGAAGCTGTTAGCAACAAGATTGAAAAAACACATTCAGATACATGTAGCCCCCGACATACTATGCTTTCAACACGAACACACAACCACAGAGGTTGCCCTCACTGCCACAGCCCCACCTCCCTCCATCACACCTGAAGTGCAGAGGCTATTGACGGGTAAATCATCTCAGGAAAAAATAGGAGCTTCTGAATTTTAGCAAATGAAAAGCATGCATATTTCAAGAGGGCAGGACAGGGTAGGAAGATCAGACTATATGGAGAGAAAGGAGACAAGGACGTGGGATGGAGATATGGAAAAGAGGCACGAATATCACAAAAAATTATTTCAGCCACGTAGGATTTTTATCTAAGCCAGGTCTATGGCCAAAGGATGAGAGAAAATATCATTTTCTTGCCACACTACAAGGAACTAAAAAAGAAAAATATGACTAAGAAAGAAATTAAAATTATTGCTGGTTAGAGAAACCTAGCTACCAGTCCTAAGTTTTTATGAGAAAATGGATCCCAAGTTCCAAATGCACCCGGCCAATCTCTCAGTGCAGTAAACAAGACAGACACAGTCCCAGGTCCCGCATCCAATGGGAAAATAACTAAAGACAGGTAAACAAGCAACTAAGATGACACACTGTGATCGGTGCTATGACAAAAACAAAGTGTGGAGCCAGAAAACAGGTGAGAGTGCGCAGCGTGAATAAGGCGGCTGAAGTCTGGGAAGAGGCAGCATGGACACCAAATCCAAGAGCAGCAGAAACCATCCACAAAGAGGGAACCGGCCCTGAGGCAAGAAAAACCTTATCTCGTCCAGGCACCTTTGAGACCAGTATAGCTGGGCAGTTGTAAACCAGATGGAAGAGTTACTGTGGTGATCACTTTCCAACATATACATATATAAAATCAGCATGTTGCACACCGGAAATCAGCATCATGCTAATATAATGTTATATAATTGTGTCGTATTTTAATATACATCATTCATCAAATGTTATATGTTAATAATATCTCAATTAAAGCCCCCCCCCCCCCCCCCGCCCCAAGAGTGGAATACAATGACGTTTGGAAAGCCAGACAGTGCAGAGGGTTATGGTCCTCAGCAAGGAGTTTTCATCCTGATGTTATGGAAAGCCGTCAAGGAGCTTATAAAGAAACCTGTCATTCTGTAGCACAGTCTACTTGTTAACTGAGGATATGTTTTCATAAATCATAATAATAAAAGTGAATGTTTTAAAGTAAAGCATTCCCACCCCCTGGATAACACTGATCACAGGCCTATCTATAGCTATTGCAACCTCTCCACTTCTAATCAGCACAGCCCCCTCCTCTGCTATAACCGTTCACAGCACTTATCACTCTCTAAGCTTTTTTTGGTTGTTGTCACTGGTGGTGGTGATGGTGTTTTGGTCTTTCCCCACCAGGGCTGTAAGCCCTTGGAGTGCAGGGGCCATATCTGTCTTAACTTTTTTTTCCTCCAAGATCTCATAGCATACCTAACGTTAAGTAGGCCATTAGTTCTCATTTGTGGAACAATGAGCAAATGTGATTCATCTAGTATTTAATGATCACTTAGGGTTCTAGAGACCTTGAGGAAACAGAAAGATTGAAATATGCCATCATGCCCAACCAGCTGAGTTATAACATGCTGTGAACAAACTGCTGTGGGAGTCCAGAGGAGGGGGCCCAGATGGTCTAACAGTAAGTTTTCTTTGGGCGGGCGTGAGTATTTTTATGTGAAAAGTCCAACAAAGGTCCCTGGCTGGTGTGCTCAGTGGTTAGAGCGCCAGTCCATGCACTGAAGGGTGGTGGGTTCGATTTCTGGTCAAGGGCACACGTATCTGGGTTGCAGGTTCCTTCCCGCCCAGGGCTGGGGTGCATGCGAGGCAACCCATTGACGTATTTCTCTCATATCAGTGTTTTCTCTCTATCGCTCTCTCTCTCCCTCCTTCCTTTCCACTCTCTCAAAATCAATGGGAAAAACCCAACAAAGGTACAAAAATATAATCTGAGATATTTAATGAATACCTTCACTAAAATTACACACAATTTGTGGACCTTAAATCTATGATGCAAAACATCTGTGCTTATAGCAACTGAGGATAATGGCATGCAGCCTACATTATTCCTGTGCTCAGCACTGGGGAACATCTGACACGCATCACACGAGAAAAGGAATCTCCATTGCTCAGCAGAGCATAAGGTAAGCTTACACAATACCCAACCTGCAGTGGGAGAGTCCAGAATTCCCTGCTCCCATGCCTAAGTGTGCCAAGTTTTGAGCTGCACTGATTCAGCAATATGTTTACTAGTACAACCTTTCACAGATACTGGTGACTACACAGCTCTTTCCAACCTTTATGGCACTCCTAAAGGAAAATTCTCATGGCCAACACAATTTGGGAGGCAGAGCAGATTAAAAAAGCAAGTAAAAGAGAGAGAGAGAGAGAGAGAGAAAGAGAGAGAGAGAGAGAGAGCCAAAAAGATCAGTGGATATCATTCAGCATTATTTAACAAGTGATACACAAAACAAGCTAGCAAAAACAAAAGCCTTTTCAGTAGACTTGGAAGCAGAAACAGTACTGTGTGATACAATTTAGATCTACTGTTTTGCTGAAGTGAAATCTTGCATTCCTTAAAACCAGGAAACAATTTCCTCCAAGAAGGGGGGACAGGAGGGGAAGCAACAACCTAGCATTTTATAGATTTTCCCATTCCCTTAAAAACCACAGCACCGCATGACCCTCAGAAAGAGCACCACCAGCACTTTTAGCCAGCTTGAAGGAGTCCACTGCTGCCTAGAAAACACATGGCCAATGCAATAAAATGTAATTGGGGTTGTAAAAAAGTTTAGAGTTACGTATCAAACACTTAATGGTGTTTATAATGTAAACTTTAAGAGAGATTGGATGAGGGCGAGGAAGGAGAATACATTTATAAAACGATCGTTGTAAATTTTCAGTAATAATCTATTAAGTGGACAACACATAAAGACGCCTCTGTCGGAGGAGGTTCATACAAGAGGCAGATTTATCTAACTTATTTCTTACCTGGAAGGATCGTAGAGACCAGCTGCACAGGGGGCTGTGGCTCATGTTCCTCAGCACAGACCACAAGTGCAGCAAAAGGCTTTACATAGAACCTCCCTCTCTGGAATTTTATGCGAACGGCATAAAATGCTGGAAATGTCCTCCCCACAGCCTGACCGGTGCGGTCAGTCCATTCCATACACACACTCAACACATTCCTACTCGTTTTAGAGCAGGAACGGAACCGTTTCTGTTCCCCGCCGAGATGAGACGCGAATTGTGGTTGAAAGGTAACTAAGACCTTGCCTGCCGTCTTAATAGGCATTCATTCATGAACTGTGACTTCAAGCAAAATGATACATTCGATCTCAATGATGTAAAGGGGCCAACACGCCAAGCCCCGAAGCGGAGAAGAGTGAAGGCGGCTTCATGGAAAGATCCCATTCACCCAGCGCCCCTGGGAAGCCAGGCGAACCAGCAACCCTCCGGCCGAGCCCAGCGACCCAGCGACCCCGGCGGGCGACCTCGGGGCCGGTCACTGCCCTCGGACGCTCCTCCAGAAGTTGCCGACCCAGAAGCGTGGCCCATCCACGAAGCACCGGTATCACGTTCCAAAGGGAAGGCAGCCCCGCCCGGCTCAGGGCGCACCGCGGGTCGGTGTCGACCCAACAGGCAAGGTCGGCTCCGCGCGGGCAGCGCCCCCAGCCTCCGGTCAGCCCAATCCCGGTCCCCGAATTCTCCCACCCCGACCCCCACCCCCCCGAACCCAGCCGTCCCCGGGCTCCCGCGCGGGCACCTCGCCATCGCCGCCTCTCCCACCGGGGCCCAGAGGGGCAGCGGCCCCGCGCCCTCCCCACAACCCCCGCGCGCGAGGCCACCCGCGGGAGGAAGAACGGCGCCCGCCTCCCGCGAGTCCACACACAGCTCTACTCCCACGCCCCACCCCGCACACGGACCCCCCTCTCCATCCCCTTTGAGAGTCGTGCCCCCCAACACATCCTCCCCTCCCAGACCGTCTCCCCAAGACCGAGCCCCGCAGCCTTACCCAGAACCCAGCAGGCACACCCCGAGTATTGATAACTCCGACTCCAGCCGACTGGGTGACTCTGATGGGCGGCAGCGCGTTCGCGACACTTTCGCGACGGCCGTAAAGGAACACGCGGGTCGGCGCGGCCCGGCGGCGGGAGCGCCGCGGGGGCG